CAACTGACATAAATACATATATACTTTTTTTGTGGATACATACATATTATACATAGAAACACCCAGACCAAATCAAACATTAAATGTTCATGCACACAAATGTTTGACTTGAGCGTAAATCGAACCCGCGACCTTTGGAATAGCAGTCCGTTACACAAACCACTATGCCACTATGCTATACTTTTGTTATCTATATATATATATAAGAGAATTCCACGTATATAGTCACTTATCACGATATCTCTGGAACCATTAGAGCTAAAGACTTGAAATTAGTAGGAATATTCTTTTCACCGAGTAGAGGTCAGCTAAGAACGGATTTTAAGAAATTCAAAAACAAAAAAAAATATTTAAATAATGTAAATAGCAAAACAACGTTTGCAGGGTCAGCTAGTTAATAATAAAGGTTATCTTTTCTTTCTTCCTTTCTTTAACAATTTTCCAATAACTAAATTCAAGAAGCCTCTTAATTTACGGTTGATAGAAAATACATTTTACAGTGTAAAAGAATAATATAACTGAACCTTGGCAAGTTATGAACACTTTTTAGTGCAGAAATATTTCCAAGATATTTGTACGATATTTTATAAAATCTACCTCATTTTAATAAATTTGCATGACTATTTCACATACCACGCTAAATAGAACTATTTTTTTAACGCTAGGCACCTAATTGTACTCTATGACTATTTTTAGATGTGAAAAATAAATTTACATTTCATTTTAAAAGAAGTGTTTTCATTTTTTTCAAGATTGGGAAATTATTGTTATTTTTTTTTATTTTCGCTTATTATTGTTGTTTTTTTGCAAGTGCAAGCCGGCCCTTACGCAGTAAGGTTCCGTAGTATATTAATACCCACAACTCTCCGCCATCGTTGCACACGAAAAAAATTTCATCCTCATCACCTGGATAGTTGGCGCTCCACTACTGTGCGCTTTTCGAGTCACTTTTTGCCCCGCACAACCACCAACCAATCTGTGGAACGAGTTATCGTCTGCGGTATTTCCGGACCGATACGACCTTCAAACCTTCAAGAAAAGAGCGTACTCCTTCCTAAAAGGCCGGCAACGCGTTTGTGACTCCTGAGTTACAGACGTTCATGGGCGGCAATGGTCACTTTCAATCAGATGACCCGTCTGCTCGTCTGCCCCCTCTAACATAAAAAAAGAAACCGTTTTAAATCAGTAACAATTCGCTCTAAGTTTCATTTCAAGAAGAAACTAGGGACAGACGAGCAAACACAAAATAACTTTCCAATTCTAATTATTTCTCTCAGAGATTTCGACGATAAATTCACTGAAATATGAGCAAGTCAAAACACACAACTTCAACGAAAATTATGAATTTCGTAAAGTTATTTCGAACGTATGTTATAAAAATATACCTCTCGAAACATTGCTTTTAAAACAATAAAACAAATTAAGTGAAACTGAAAATGTAATAAGCCTTTCATTGTAGATATGTATTTGTAAATATGTATAAAAAAATCATTATAGAAGCATGTAGAACCTAATATAGTCACTTTTTAGGGTTCTGTACCGCAAAAGGAAAAACGGACGTCCGTACGTTCGTCCGTCTATCTGTCTGTCAAGACCCTTAATCTCTGGAACGCGTGAAGGCATTGATTTGAAATTAAAACAATATATTCAAGTCTACAGTCTCTTGACACTGTGAAAAAATCAAACTTCTAAGTTAACGTAAACAAAAGATACTGCCGTTTGTGCCGCAAAAAATGTATATTTCGACACTCTCAAGCGAATCAAAATTCATAGGGTATTTTCCGTTGACCTAGAGCTGTGAAATTTGGCAAGTAATAACGTCTTAAACTACAAAGATAGGGAAAAAGTCTAATAAACTATACATTTGTAATTAAATCATAAAAAACAGGGTCTTCATGCAGGGAGCGGCGGTCCAAATTTTGAATTGAATTAACCGTGTCATGCTTAAACAGATTTATAATTATTTTTTTATTATAAATTTGCACGGAACCCTCAGTGGGCGAGTCGCACTTGTTATTTTACCTTATAAGTTATTATAAACAAGATATTTAGGTACCGATAGGTTGCCGATATTTCATCTGACAGTTCATCCGTGATCATGACGCTTGCAACAGAGCCGAAATATCGGAAACGAATCCACGAAAATAAATATGGAGAATATCCCATTTATAATAACTTATCAAATATGTGTTTTAATTACAAATGAATAGTACTTACTTATATATTTTACAGTTTAATGACACCTTGATAATTATTTTTCGTAAAGAATAGATTTTATTGACAAAAAACAGTAGACGTAGATTTTAAAAAGAAAAATGAAGAGCCTTCTTACATGTGAATACGAAACGTTTTCCGGCAAATCACTGAGTACGAGTATTTCGGTGCTGTGTTTCTCATTAATAGGTACTACGCGATCAACGTTGTAGTCTAGCAAACCGTATCTATCTAAGAGAAATAATTAAATTTTAAAAAAAGTAAACTGTAATCTGCATTCCTTACTTTGCAGCCTTAATAACAGTATTTTTTCTTTAAAATTATTAGTTTTGTTTAAAAAATACAACCATCATTAGGATTATATTATGGTTCGTGGGGGATTTTATAATCATACATGAAATGGACACAAAGAACACCCCGACTCAGAACAAAAATGTGCGGACAAAGTGTTGTCCCACTCGAGGATCGAACCGCGACCGCTTAAGCCTAACGGGAAGTGGGTAAACTTCCCGTTAGGCATCTTAAAGAAAAAAAGAATTTTCCAAATCTGTTCATAAATGGTAGTGCTCTGGGGAAACAAACGTAAAAAGTACAAGCGAATTGAGTTTTCTCCTTTTTGTAAGTCGGTTAAAAAGGAAATCGAGATGAATTTCCTCATGATGACCTCGCGTGTGTAACATTTGTGAGTGATCGGTTACTCGCTGTGCGTCTACATCGGCTTTATTAAACGATCAATCACCAACTTTTTGCGTATTGATACACAGCGTACATACCACTTACTTGTGAAATGTGCGAGTAAGGCGCTACCGGTCCTCGTATAAATACGATATCTGGATAGCAGTAAATGATGCATTACGAACCTCCTTGCTTTTCCTTATGGGCGGGTCAACTGATGGTAAGTGGCTATCCCCACCCAAGGACACCTCCAACTCGAGAGATGAGTGAGGTTATTGGAGGCCCAATTCCCATTTGTGCCTCCAATATCCTCACTCATCATCATCAAAAGCCTTTAATAGTTCACTGCTGGACATATACCTCTCCTTAGAAAGGAGGTTTTGTCCTACTATACCACGATGGCCAGACCGGATGTTTTCTTTCTTTTTGCAATGCCTTTGTCCTGCAGAATTTGCTTCCTTATTCTACTCTTACGACATCCACGGGATGAATAGGGGGTGACAGTCCATATTATTAATCCGTCACCACACGGACAACCTGAGGTTGTCCGTGTGGTGACGGTGGTGACGGTGAAAATCAGAACAATTTCTTAGCATCAGTTTTCTGTGAGGCCTAGGTATCGGTAAGGTCGAGCCAGCCCATATACGTATGCTGAGGCATAACTCTCTAACGACTTGGCATGATTCTCCAACAACTGGTCACTGCCACTGTGTGTTTGGATCTAAGAATCGTACAAACACGAGATATGTACTGCCGTTCATATTAAGTACACCAATTGAGGTGCCTGTTGGTCCAGTGGTTAGAGTTCCTGCTGTGCGGCTGCTAAGTCACCCAGGAAAAATAAATTATGATGAGCACTGTGGTTTGTTATGTTTCTGAGTCTAATTTGTGTAAAACATATACCTATGTATTTAGAAATATATTAGCACAGGTTCTCAGGGTTCAGACGTTAGAGTATGGGATTTATTAAGTTATTATTACATACTATTAAAATACCCCAATTTCTTGAGGTTTATGTAGACACCAATGTCCCATTCTTTATTTTATTTTTTTCCTATGCGGAAATCCCCCCGGTGGGGTGACTATGACGGACTCGAACCGACCAAAAACAGCACGCCGTCTCGGGTACCAGTAGGCGGGCAACCAAGTGTACCTTAGAAAGGCAATCCCTGGTACCCCGACGTACCTCGGGCCATCCACGGCGTGTAGATAAACACTCCTATATGGGAACCACTGGCGCTGGATTCGTCTGCGGTACCTGGCCGTTCCGGGCCGGGAGAGTTCCAAAACTCTCACGGTCCCGATCCGCCAACGCCAACGTGTGCCCCTACAAATTAAGCTTGTGAGTATTTTATGTTATTCCGTGACCACTACAGATTCTTGATTGCCGAAGCTCAGAATAATTTAAATACAATTTTAAATACAAAAATTAATTATCGGTCATGTTATACAAAAAAGTATTTTTTTAAATCTATGACAGAAGCATGTCTTTATAATGTTTTGAACAACACAGCCAATATCCATGTCCATCTTAAAGTAAGTTAAAAACTAGTTATCACAACGCAGCTTTTCGCAATAGAAACAAAACAATAAAATTATAAAACTAATTCACAACTGTATTATCAGACCGGAAGCTATGGTCCCACGCGGGTGTGCACCACTCCTTGTTGTGCTAATAATTCCACACCCTCTACATATTGCGGTCGGTATATCAGGTTCGACCTTGACATTTCGTGTGGGTAAAAAAGGATGCGTTATTAAAGTTAAGCTGAGATTACAAGAGTGGTTTTTATGAGTCTTGCTTTGTCTCATATGAGTACAGACGAGTGACATGGGTGAGGATGACCATACCCACATCAAAATCAACAGTGGTGGCTCATGAATACACAAATTTGTCCTAAAGCAAATTTCAAAAATGTTCAGAATTATTTTAAATAAGTACACAAAAAAAAACAATTATTTTTATAACAGTTTTTTATTAAACATAAAGTTTTCACACACGAATGTGTAAATTTTTTGAAAATACTTTCTAAAATCAATTATTTTCTCTAAAATCTAAAATAATGTTTATACTGCTGGCTTCCCAAATATGCCTGTTGAATGTTGACTTGTTATGTGTATGACGTGAAACTGACTAACCGAGGTCGCAGGCTATCTATCTCAGCGATGTCACCCTCTGTAGTCGTTTCTTTAGTACAAGATTCTTCATCCACTAACGAATTCTCAAAGTTTTCGCCCCCCCAACTATTCTGTCTGGTGTCGCCATTAATATATGCTATCGTAAACTAGAAAAGTTTATTATAAAAGGTTATCCTATTTCAGATACAAGATGGTGGTTAGTTTATGTGGACTATGTAAACTAATGAACCACCATCATAATAAAAAAATAATTAATAAAATGCCAAATATTTGCTTAAAGATACACACTGAAAAATTCGTGGGGTGCTGGATGTCAAGTGTTGTAAATATTTTATTGACAGGTATTGATTAAAGTCATTATATTATAACATATATTCAAACCCCACCCCACGTTTTTTTTACGAAAAAATGATTTTTCATTTTGCATTTATAGGAACTTATTTTGTACCTTTTAGTTAGGCGTGGTTTTTGTTTTACTATAATTTATTTTTGCTTCTTGGTCGTTAATGATGATTATTTTCACAGTAAAGAATCAAAAGTAACAAGTTAATAAGACACAATATGCTTCAGTACACGCTTTAGTACGTGGCACGAGACACTACCGTATTTATACATATGGAAACATCTGTTAATCCTTTAGATCCTAATAAGGATAATCGGATAAATTTAAAAAATGTTGTATTGTTATCGGTCCTTGATAAGTATGCGAAGTTTCAATTCAATCCGACGTTTGAGAGTAATTGAAAATCACGTTCAAAGATTCCGTTACACAGAAACAGACATACCAAACTAATAAAATCGTGTTAAAAATACATGATTCGGTGTTTTTTTTTTTTATTATTTTTCATCTCATCCGTAGTCCTGTTGCTTATCCATAGTCAATGTCAATTCTTATTTTTCTTTTAAATTTATTTTAAGTTTTTTTTTTAAGGGATGTATTAACAAAGTAGTGATTATTGAATAAAAGATCGAGTTGGAATTCAAATATATTTTCGCGCGCTTAATGCCAAATGTATTGCAAAATGAATAAGAAAAAAGAATAGCTTTGCTTTTTTCTAGACAGTTAAGTTTCCGCGAAACCACGAACTTAGCAATGTGTATACTGTCCTTGAATTTATTTACCAGTTTGAACTGGGTCGATTTTGTTATCACGTGACAGTTGAGTCTCCACTTTATGAAGCTGCAACTAGGCCGAATTGTCAACTACGTTCATTACTACCTCGTTCAAAGAGTTGCGTAGTTTTATTTTCTTGTGAACAACATTTTCTTGTTTAAAAAGATCTTTCTTTTCTTATTCACAACTTTCTTAGTGAAAATTACACAGTCCATCTTGGATTAAAGCGAGCATGCACCAAATTCCAATCTATATGCAAGTTTACATTAGCAAGAGTTAAAATATCAAATTTTCTGTGAGTTATATCATCATCATCAACAACCTTTATTAGTCCACTGCTGGACATAAGCCTCTCCTTAGAAAGGAGGTTGTGGCCTACTATACCAGACAGGCCTACTGACCAGACGGATTGGTATAGGGTTTGTGTCAAGTTTTCCTTCTCTCTGCAGTGCTGGTGTTCTGCGTAGTTTTTTCTCTTAGTCGGCTCTTTCGACACCCACGGGATGAATAGGGGTGGTGACACTCTGTATTCTTAATCCGTCACCACACGGACTTATATGGTCAGTAGTTTCTAATAGTGCTAATAAATAAATGCATGGTTAAGTTTGCTAAGTATTTTACCTGCCTTTTTATCTATTGAAAATTTTATAAACCCATTCATTTTAGTCGATATAAGTGACGAAAGATTTATATTTCTTGCCGGTTCCTCTTTTGAGATTTATGATCTACAACCCATATAAGTTATTTTTTATGTACATAACAAATGTTCGTCAATATTTAATGGTGTAAAAACTATTTATTTTAATAAAAATCGACCTGTGTATTAGGAAAAAATTATAAACCTTTTCCGAGTCCATCCGGCCGCTCTATCTAACCTCTAAGGTTTTTTGATTCACTTTGTAGATTTGCAATCATTCATTATCAATCACCTTAATTTCACCCTTTATAAGTTATTCTTAAACGCAATTTCTGCCTGTATGTTTGTAATATATTAATGGCTTTCATTCGCTATGTGTCCGGTTCTAATGTCTTGAAGTATGTGGTTCGTTCTAGTCTAGTCAGTCTAGCGGGGGCTAATTGGAGAGTAAATAGCTGCGCACATTCAAATTTCAATGTTGAAGGGCAGCCTTATTATTTCGATAGTTTATTATATATATAGATTAGACGAGTCATTCAAATTAGTCTACTTTACCTGATCTCCCATTCCAGTGATAATAGGGGTGTTCCAGTACGCAGCAAGTCTGGCGACGGGTTCTAGGGCGAAAGCGCAAGCGGGCCCGATGAATGCAATGACGTCATCTTTGAAGTGCATATCTGCCGCCAGGCCCGGTGCTATAGCACCGGAGCACGATGGGTAGCTATGAACAAAAAAATAATCATTTAATTTTAATTTCCAAAAGCTAATTACCTAAGTAGGGAAGCAAAAAATAAAATGTATATTAAGAGATGATAACAGATGGTTGTGTAATCAAACTGGAAAAAGAACTACTATCTAAAATAACCACCATAAAAAACAGTACAACAAAAACAACAATTATTTTCGTACATCTGATCTGACACACAATGCCATCTAGTTTCAAACTAAGCAGAGTTTGTACTATGAAAGCTAGATTGACTGATAGAATACTTATATACTTATAGTACTTTTTTTGTAAATACATACATATTCATTTATGTTTTTTCTTAAGACAACTCCCGCGTTAGGAACATACATGAAAGAACAACAATTTGTGGATCACACAAAGTGTCGTTCGGTGTGGGAATCTTACCCACAAGCCTCAGCGTAGCAACCGCTTAAACCACTACGCCATCCGAAAACACCCAAAGTCCGAAACAAAGATTTGCAGATCATACAAACATTTAGTCCGACCCGGGAATCGAACCCGAGACCTCAGCACAGCAGACGCATAAGCTAACAGTGCACCACCGACGCAGTGTAACAGACCAGACTAACATAAGGTTTAAGAAAGAATTGATAAAGGGTTGGTAGCGAGAAACCGTTAGATGCGGGCAGCACAGGACCGGTTGTTGAGGCAAGACTTAGGGAAGCCTATCTCCAGCAGTTTTCCTCTTTCGACTGAGAAGCAGAAAAAGATATGAGGTTGCATAATCAGTGTATTGTGCAAATGTTTATTAGCATTGCTATTGTCTGATCATGTCATGTTTAGAATTTATTATTGCGTCTCAAGTGTTTTCTCCATGAAATTTAACTCATTGTCACAGAAGGGTAGTTCAAGATGAAGAATTACAAATATTTTTTCGTCCACTTTTACGGTGAAAAGTTGTTTTTCTATTTCTCAGTTACTTTCTTGCGATGAATATCACCCTATGACTTTCTCTGTACCCTTGACAATGTGTACAATGTGAACAATAATTTAAACAAACTATTTTTCGAATCTACTTTTATTATTAAGTTACAATTAAGGTCGATACATCTAAAATATGATTCCATTTTAATTTAAAAAAAAGATTTTTAATAATAATACCTTTAATCCTTGACTTGAGATGTTAGACCTCTTTATAAGGTTTTTAAAATAATAAAGCATTTTTGCCTTGGTACACAACAGGTATATTACAAAAATAATCTCTTTGAAGTAATTTCTACACGCAAAGGCTCTTTAATTTCAAAATCTCCAGAATTCAACCGTATAATACTTTAATATTAAGGCAATCTTCTTACCGTGGAAGGACTTCAATACACACATCTGACGTACGTACGACGAAAAGCTTTAAAGAATAAAGGCGAGGAACCCGTTTAGTTCTCAGAGACTCACGGAGTTTCGAATTAGCAATAATGTATACTGGAACTTTTATAGCAAAGATACTCTTATCGACATGAAAATTATTGCTACTTTTAAATCATATTCATTTGATGAAATGATTGGCTATAGTCACAGCGATTTTACATGTGGTTGTGATTTCGTCATGGACAAATATGTGTCATTAAAATCAATCAAATTTATTTTTATTGAATATTACGACTTTTTTTAATTAGACCTTTCGCGAGTCTTGCGCTTGCGTAATAATAATAACTAAGTATGAGTGGTGATTTTTAAATCAGGTGATTTATCACATGTGATTGTGATTTTACTCTATCCCTAAAGCTCACAATAGCATTGATTAAATTTGTATGGTATTGAATTGGTATGTTATCACTTCTAAGTAAGTCTTACATCCTCAAAAGTATGTCAATTATTAGTTATGGGCTAAGTTGTTACGGACTAACATTTAAAACGTATATAGAGGAAATTAAAAAGATACAGTTTTGTTTTTGTTTTTAATTGTGGATGGAAAAATTAAAACTAAGCATAAAGGTGACTATTATAAGTTATTTTCGGAATGTGCAATCATACCAGCAAATGAAAAAGTTAAATATTTAATGGCATAAGAATCATATCATAGTGAAGAGTTTAAGATAAAGAAAATATTTAATTATAGTGTTAGATTAATAAATAATAACACATTAGAGTAGTTAAAATTAAATAATTACTATGAGAAGAGGACTAGGAAGTATGCAGTACCAAAGTTATGTAATAAATATCAAATACTAAGAGAGGATTAGAAAATAAAATGTAAATTTAAACTAAAACTAAGACTTAAAGAAATGTTTGGATATGGTAATAGATTAAAACGTATAAAATGTGTACACAAACAAGGAACTAGGCAGCACCCAAAAATAGTGAGGTTTGTATAACTAGTACTCTTATACCGTTGCAGTAGTAATTTAAAAAGTAACATTTAAGTACCAAGATTATTATAAACTGAGCGGAACTCCTACAAACTGTAAGACACTGTAAAAAACATGCAATTTTAATGTGAATAAAGTTTATTAAAAGATATATATTGAATTGAATATTATATTGAATTAAGCTAGATAAGTATTACTTGATAACTTAAATGTTCTTATACCGTTTTTCTTTTTTACAGAAAGGTAATCTTAGTATTGGGTTTTTACAAAATCCTCTGACATCCAACAAAAATTTGAGCCTTACACATTATTTTTCAATTTACAAAAATTCAGACCAGTCGTGGCCACTACACCGAGGCTACTGGGGCTTTGGCTTTAGCCGCAAGACCTTTGGCTTGTTACGAACTGGTCACTACGGTGGTCTTGCGCTCGAATAAGCGCAGTACCATGAAAACCCCTATGTTAAAAGCATGTGGCGTGATATTATGCTTCAACAATCGGTGTACAAATACAGCTGACAACTATCCTTATTACCTAAACTATCTTGCTATTGCCCTTGGGAGTCCAGACTTTTCTTTTTCTATTTTAAGCAACCTGTAATAGATCACATTACATAAGAATATACGTCAATTCAACCACAATTTTTTATACTCAACTTCATACACCTATTTTATAAAAATTTCATTTAATAAAAATGCAGATTTTTACTTTTAGCTCTCATTGTCAATTTTATATCTGAAAATGTATTCAACATATGAAAAATTTATTGAAACGCCTTGAAGGTAACAGAGGCGATAAAAGCAGTGCATGAGAGGAATGCGAGTAGACGCGGCTCCTAGCAGACGCTTTACGAGCAAGCTGAGCTCGGATCAAGAAAACGTCTGGTAAATCTCCATGTGATGTCTGGCCGTAATCTAAGTGTAGCGGAGCGTAAAGCGAAAGGAGCTCCAATTATTATAGCAGTCTAAATAGTTCATATAAAACAAACTAGGGCTCAACACATAAAATAAGTATATTATTTAACAATTTGTACAAAAATGCTATGTGTTTGTCTTTAATAGAAACTGATGTGGAATAACTTTTAACACTAACTTTTATAGAACTGATGCGTATAGAACAAATAATTGATGAGCACCATCAACTGTACTGTATTTGGATGTGATTCATTTTTGATTCATGTATTTAGAAATATACATATCTGTTTATCGGCCTGCCGGCCTCTGATCTCGAGTTGATCTCGAAGGAACAAACTAAACATCATGGTAACATGATGTTTAGTTTGTTCCTTCGAGATCAACTGATCCAAAATGTTTAGGCGATCTGTTTTACTTTATAAAGATGTGAAACATCTAATGTGGAGGGTCAGGCCGGCTCTTTTCATGGCGATACGTTGCCACGATATGTTTAATTAAATACATTTAATATCACATATCGTGGCAACGTATATATGTAATGCGGTTTGGCTATATTTTTAGTTATCCTACATTTATAATTTCCTTTTGTAAGCTGCATTTCATTTGATTTTTATTGATTTGACAATGATCTGAAATGATTTTGTGACGAAAACGTTTCAAATTACAGGGTCAGTTGGATAAAATAACATAGGTCATAACTATCAGGTCAATTATTTAATATTTAATTCCTTGAATGCGGACGTTTTTCATTAAAGCCGGGGCACTCTATCAACATATTAAAGTTCTATTCATGTCAGCTCCTCTTAGTCGAAATATAAATTGTTTCATTCCATTTTAAATCCGTCACTTACGCAATAAGATTTCTATTTAACAAACAAGTCTTATTTTGAGTGACAACATAAAACGCTAACAATTTTATTGAGAAAATTCATGATTGTTACGTTATTTTTACGGCATCTATTATCTCGTACGATCTTAAACTATGAGAACACCTTTCTGTAACAATCTGTATATTCCTTACAGAGGTAAAGGATCTTCGGCTTATGGTATTATTAATAACTTCGATCAAACTAATTGAACAGATATATTCCATTAAACTGTGAAACCCGTTTGTTTAGGATAGAACTGATTTACTCAACATTATTATACTAACAGCATATCCAATAAGTATATATTCAAGTGCCTGATCTAATATCAGATATATGGGTATATCATTTGTAATACATATTAGTATTCACTGTTGTTGTCACAATGTTAAACTTGTATCTACGAATTTAATTTATTTCTTAAACAACTTTTTAGAAAATATTACCGACTATCAACGCATCTAAATCATAACAAATTGTAATAAACTGTATGTATTGTATATTGTAATAACTGTATGTAGGACAGGACAGGGTAAAAAACAAAAAAGTGCAACCAAATTGGAAACGTCTTTTTTTTAAAGTTGATTAAAAATCCGTAAATCGTCTGCTCTTTTCCCCTCTGTGTATTGTAAAATCTTGGTTGAGTTTTCACCGATTTCAATTATACTTTTTTATTTTATATGCCCTGAAATATAACTGCCAACTTTTAAGTTTGTTAAAACTTCTAACGACAGAGTTATGCTAATGTAGGTACTTTTGTTAGCATTTTTTTATTGTAGAATTACCATCGATTGTCCCGTGAGCTTGCGTTATAATCCTCTTTACATTTAGTTTTGTTTCTTTAAGTAATAAAGTGATTTTGTGAAATGTGAAACGACGTGAAAACCCAC